CCTCGTAGGTCTTCCAGAGTAAGATCCGCACTAGAGTGGTATGGTAATCCTGTTCTGTAAGTCATGTTACTAGACCATGATGAACCTACGAACTATGAGGAAGCTATGATGAGCCCAGATTCCGTGAAATGGCTTGAGGCCATGAAATCTGAGATGGGATCCATGTATGAGAACAAAGTGTGGACTTTGGTGGACTTGCTCGATGATCGGCAAGCCATAGAAAATAAATGGATCTTTAAGAAGAAGACCGACACAAACAGTAATGTTACTATTTACAAAGCTCGACTTGTTGCGAAAGGTTTTCGACAAGTTCAAGGAGTTGACTACGATGAGACTTTCTCACCCGTAGCGATGCTTAAGTCTGTCTGAATCATGTTAGCAATTGCTGCATTTTATGATTATGAAATTTAGCAAATGGATGTCAAAACTGCATTCCTGAATGGATTTCTGGAAGAAGAGTTGTATATGATGCAACCAAAAGGTTTTGTCGATCCAAAGGGTGCTAACAAAGTGCGCAAGCTCCAGCGATCGATTTACGGACTGGTGCAAGACTCTCGGAGTTGGAATAAACGCTTTGATAGTGTGATCAAAGCATATGGTTTCATACAGATTTTGGGAGAAGCCTGTATTTACAAGAAAGTGAGTGGGAGCTCTATAGCATTTCTGATATTATATGTGGATGACATACTGTTGATTGGAAATGATAAAGAATTTCTGGATAGAATAAAGGGATACCTGAATAAGAGTTTTTTATGAAAGACCTCGGAGAAGCTGCTTACATATTGGGCATCAAGATCTATAGAGATAGATCAAGACGCTTAATTGGACTTTCGCAAAGCACATACCTTGATAAATTTTTGAAGAAGTTCAAAATGGATCAATCAAAGAAAGGGTTCTTGCCTGTGTTACAAGGTGTGAAGTTGAGCCAGACTCAATGCCCGACCACTGTAGAAGATAGAGAGAAAATTAAAGTCATTCCCTATGCTTCAGCCATAGGTTCTATCATGTATGCAATGCCGTGTACCAGACATGACATGCGCCTTGCTATAAGCATAGCAGGGAGGTACCAAAGTAATCCCGGAGCGGAGCACTGGACAGTGGTCAAGAACATCTTGAAATACCTGAAAAGGACTAAGGATATGTTTCTCTTTTATGGAGGTGAGAAAGAGCTCGTTGTAAATGGTTACGTCGGTGCAATCTTTGACACTGATCCAGATGACTCTAAGTCGCAAACTGGATACGTATTTTTATTGAATGGAGGAGCTGTCAGTTGGTGCAGTTCCAAGCAGAGCGTCGTGGCGGGATCTACGTGTGAAGCGGAGTACATTGCTTCTTCGAAAGCAACAAATGAAGGAGTTCATATCCGATCTAGGTGTCATACCTAGTGCATTGGGTCCAATGAAAATATTTTGTGACAATATTGGTGCAATTGCCTTGGCAAAGGAATCCAGATTTCACAAGAGAACCAAGCACATCAAGAGATGCTTCAATTCCATCTGTCATCAAGTGTCGGAAGGGGACATAGAGATTTGCAAGATACATACAGATCTGAATGTTGCAGACCCGTTGACTAAGCCTCTTCCACGGGCAAAACATGATCAACACCAAAGCTCCATGGGTGTTAGAATCATTACTATGTAATCTAGATTATTGACTCTAGTGGAAGTGGGAGACTGAAGGAAATATGACCTAGAGGCAATAATAAAGTTATTATTTATTTCCTTAATTCATGATAAATGTTTATTATTCATGCTAGAATTGTATTAACCGGAAACTTAGTACATGTGTGAATACATAGACAAACCATATAGTCTCTAGTATGCCTCTACTTGACTAGCTCGTTAATCAAAGATGGTTATGTTTCCTAACCATAGACATGTGTTTTTATTTGATAAACGGGATCACATCATTAGGAGAATGATGTGATTGACATGACCCATCCGTTAGCTTAGCATTATGATCGTTACAGTTTCATTGCTACTGCTATCTTCATGACTTATACAAGTTCCTCAGACTATGAGGTTACGCAACTCCCGAATATCGGAGGAACACTTTGTGTGCTACCAAACATCACAACGTAAAAGGGTGATTATAAAGGTGCTCTACAGGTGTCTCCGAATGTGTTTGTTGGGTTGGCATAAATCGAGATTAGGATTTGTCACTCCGTGTTTCGGAGAGGTATCTGTGGGCCCTCTCGGTAATACTCATCACTATAAGCCTGGCAAGCATTGTGACTAATGGGTTAGTTGCGGGATGAAGTATTATGGAACGAGTAAAGAGACTTGTCGGTAACAAGATTGAACTAGGTGTGATGATACCGACGATCGAACCTCGGGCAAGTAACACGCCGATGACAAAGGGAACAACGTATGTTGTTATGTAGTTTGACCGATAAAGATCTTCATAGAATATGTAGGAACCAATATGAGCATCCAGGTTACACTATTGGTTATTGACCGGAGACGTGTCTCGGTCATGTCTACATAGTTCTCGAACCCGTAGGGTCCGCATGCTTAACGCTCCATGACGATTGGTATTGTGAGTTTATGTGATTTGATGTACCAAAGGTTGTTCGGAGTCCCGGATGTGATCACGGACATGACGAGGAGTCTCAAAATGGTCGAGACATAAAGATTGATATATTGGATGGCTATGTTCAGACACCGGAAGTGTTTTGGAAAAGTTTCGGATAAAACCGGAGCACCGGGGGTTACTAGACCCCCTCCCCCCCCTCGGGAAGCTATTGGGCCTCATGGGCCTTAGTGGAGAAGAGAGAGGGCCGACCAGGAGGTGGCGCGCGCCCCCTTGCCCTAGTCCGAATTGGACAAGGGGAGGGGGCGGCGCCTCCCTCCTTCCTTCTCTCCTCCTCCTCCTTCCCCCCTTCTCCTTGTTGGAATAGGAAAGGGGGGTGCGAACCTACTTGGAGTAGGATTGCCCCCCGCCTTGGTGCGCCTCCTCCCCTGGCAGGCCTCCTCCTCCCTCTCTCCTTTATATACGGGGGAGGGGGCACCCCATAGACACACAAGTTGATCTTTTAGCCGTGTGCGGTGCCCCCTCCATAGTTTTCCACCTCGGTCATATCGTCGTAGTGCTTAGGCGAAGCCCTGCGCCGGTAACTTCATCATCACCGTCACCACGCCATCGTGCTGACGGAAATCTCCCTCGGCCTCAGCTGGATCTAGAGTTCGAGGGACGTCACCGAGCTAAACGTGTGCAGATCGTGGAGGTGCCGTGCGTTCGGTACTTGATCGGTTGGATCGCGAAGACATTCGACTACATCAACCGCGTTACATAACGCTTCCGCTTTCGGTCTACGAGGGTACGTGGACACACTCTTCCCCTCGTTGATATGCATCACCTAGATAGATCTTGCGTGATCGTAGGAAAATTTTGAAATTACTGCGTTCCCCAACACTCGGTCCCTGGTGACAAGCATTAAGCATAGCAAAGTCATAGCAATATCATGGATACTATGGATCAAGCCCTAAAAAATCTAACAACAATTACCTAAGAAATCTCACACAAGTCCCATCTACCTCCATATGCGTAAAGAAGAATTACTCACACATGGATGTGATCATCATGAGATTGTGGATGGAGAAGGGTTGGTGATGGCGACGACGATGAATCCCCCTCTCACAAGGCTAGAGACGGACTCCGGATATGATTAAACATGTTTTCATGCAACATAAAGACAAGATTAAACATGTTCCCATGCAACTTACACAAGGGAAGTAATGGCATCAATCGTCAACAAAGTCCTCAACTTTGTATGAGCGAAACCTTAACTATTGTAAAATTAACTTACAGACTCAGAGGAAACACCTATGAAGGAGTTCGATCAAAGCTTTGTGCTAGCCTACCAAGGAGAAGAGTTTGCTAGTTTTAATTACGTTTACCGCCAATTATCATGTACAAATGCATCTGGTCGTTAAACTAGGTGTTTTTGTATCATTTATAAATTAAAGACGAGATTAAACATGCTCCCATGCAACTTACACAAGGGAAGTATGGCATCAATCATCGACAAAGTCCTCAACTTCGTATAAGTGAAATCTTAACTATTGTAAGAATTAACTTACCTAGGAGACAACTATGAGGGAGTCCGACCAAGTTTTGTGCTGGCCTACCAAGGAAAAGAGTTTGCTAGTTTTAGTTATATTTACCGACAGTTATCATGTGCAAATGCATCTAGTCATGGAACTAGTGTTTTTATATTATTTTATAAACCAAAGGAAACATTAAACATGTTCCCTTACAACTTACACAAGGCAAGTGATGGCATGAATTGTTAACAAAGTCCTGAAATTTGTATGAATGAGTGAAGCCTAAATTATTGCAACAACTAACATGTATGTAGTACAACAATAAATGCAACGGATCAAAACGTAGATAAGAAATTAAAGTACCACTGCCCACTCTCACAAGAAAATGTGATATAAGCAAGCCAAAGAGCCCATCACTCACATGTCATGTGCGCTATATGAGAGGACTTGCAATCATGTCCGATGATGACATTTTGTGGTTATTCATGTCCATCTTAATACCAAAGAAATTATGATACAGTAGGATTTTGAGGCATAGGGAATGACACTTTCAGACATTCTCTTCGATCCAGCGAGATCCACCTACGCGTTCTAGATGCTCGAGAAACCTCCCCATCCAAAGATGCCCTTGCAACCTACCTTCATCAGACGCAACTCAAAGTCCACCCCTTCCGAAGACCAGATCTTCATAGCGGGCGCTCGGTTCTTGTAGAGTAATTTTCAAAAATTAAATTACCACCATAGTGGAAAATAAAGTGGGTGGAAAAACTGTGTTCCTAATAACAAGGAAAAATGCTCAAACCATAGCATGAACACCTACCACAGCCATAGGATAGCACACGCACGGCCCCCGTGGCATCTCCTCACTCGCTGCCTGCAGCCTCATCAAATCCCCAATGGCGACGGGTGGCTGAGCAGGGGGGAAAGGCCGAGAGTGTACTCCCCTCCCCATCCATGGCTTCCCTCGCCTCCCCTCCCGCCCCCTCCCACTCGCCCACCACCGCCGCTCGCTACCTCCCCGCCCCGGCCGGCCGCGGCAGGCGCCCGGCGCCGCCGGCCGCTTCACCTATCTTCTCCTCTGCTTCCACCCGATTCACTCTGTCCCCGCGCGCCCCCTGCGGCGCCGCCCGACCGCGCCGGCGCGACACCGTGCGGGTAAGCATCCCGATCTCACATATCTAGCTCAATGCGATGTAGGCTTGTCGGCGGTGTGTTTCTGTCAATTTAGCCCAAGCAAATCGAGCCGCTGCTTCGCCCACTTAGAAGAGGTTGCGGTGTTTGTTACAAGGACTGATTCACCGTTGGCAGTTGCGTATGATTCAAGCAAGCAATTTTACTGCATTCAGGCTTGTACGCAATGCTGAAACCTGCAATTCTGAATGTCCTGATGCAATGCTTCGATTGCACTGTAATCCGAATAGGAATTGTGTACTGTCCCTTTGGGAAGATTGGAGATTGGGGAGCCTTTACCTCCTTGCAGACATCTTTCGTGAAAACTGTAGTAATGAATGGAATGATTGTTTGCTCATCTTCATATATGTGACAATGCGTCTTGTCAAGTTGTCATGTGTTCTGATCGTGGCCGTGATTTGCTGGCAGTAAGAACGACTACAAAGAGTAGTCTGAGTTAAGCTTTTTGCCGGACTACCGGTTGGAAGAGTTTCCCACTTTAATACATGCTTACTGGCTAATATGGAGTTCAAATGCGTCTGTTAGTTGCACCGGTGTTCCTACAAATATCATTTTTTATGTCAATTTATAAAGTTAAAGAAGATTAGATATGCTTCTCGTGCAACTTGAGGCAAATAATGCCATAAGTGGTCACAGAAGTCCTGAACATTGTGTGGCTGAGTGAAATGTACATTATAACCACAATTCAAGTGGTACATAGTACACCAACAAATGCATAGACTCGAAAGGTGGGTGGCAAATTAAGTGTAGCACCTCACTCTCACAAGAGACGGTAATATAAGCCAGCTGAAGAGGATTGCATGTTGTACCCACTATATGGGATGACTCACAGTTATTTTTATCGACACTATTTTGTTGTTTCCCTTGTCCGTGTTCATATGCAAGGAAACTAAGGCACAGTAGGATTTAGAGGCATCAGGAATAACACCATCACAATGAAGTGCTCAAATGCGTTCCAATAACCTCCGCATTGGTATGTGCCCCGACATTCCATAAAAGGCTACATCTTAGAAGCTACAGCGTTCCTACAAACATTGATGCACTGTTGACAGCTCTGTCCAGAAGTCGATTTTCCTGCATTTGGTCATTCAGTAGTAGTCTCGTCCATAGTTTAATTGCACTGTAATTCAAATAGGCATTGTGTGCTGGCTCTTTGGGAAATTGGAGATCAGGGAGTATCGCAGTTCACAAAGCACGATGAATGTGATTACCTATGTCTTTACCTTCTTATAAACAATTTTCATGAGAACTAGTCATCTTTAAACTCACTGTTTGCTAATATTCACCATCCAGCGCATTTACTCAAGTAACTATGAGACTATGCGTCTTTTCGCATATCATGATCCCACTGGTTTGACCTGGTCCTGTTACAGGCATGCTCTCAAGCTGGTGCAGCTGGGCCAGCTCCACTCTCAAAGACGCTATCAGACCTAAAGGATTCCTGCTGGAGATTTTTGAGACCACACACAATTCGTGGAACTGCTTTGGGATCCACGTGAGCATCAAGCTTTAGATTTATAATGGCTGAACCGAGATTTAGTTTTCTAGTTCTGAAACTGTTGTGTGGATGCAGAGCCTTGGTTGCTAGAGCATTATTAGAGAATCCCCAATTGATTGATTGGCGCTTGGTATTCAAAGCATTCTATGGGCTTGTAGCATTAATCTGCGGCAACGGTTACATTGTTGGGATTAATCAGATCTATGACATTGGAATCGACAAGTATGTATATTGCCTCCCATGAATTTAGTCTTCACTTACACTTACTACCTTCATTCATAAAGGTGCCGCTACAAAGTATTAACATTTAAAGTAACATATCACCAAAGCCCAGCCAATGTTTCTGCTATACCTGTCATTTCTAAGTTTATGCCACTGAACAGGGTAAACAAACCATATTTACCTATTGCTGCCGGTGATCTCTCTGTTCAGTCAGCATGGTTACTGGTCGTAGCATTCGCAGTGGTGGGCTTCTCAATTGTCGTTTCAAACTTTGGACCTTTCATCACCTCTCTTTACTGCCTTGGTCTATTTCTTGGCACTATATATTCTGTTCCTCCATTCAGACTGAAGAGATATCCAGTTGCTGCTTTTCTTATCATTGCAACGGTACTTTGCTCCTCTCTTCTTCATTACTATAGTAACAGCACCATTTTTTTAGCTCTTATATTTTAGAATGATAGCCCAATTATGAACTGGAAACTTTGCTTAATTTATCTCTGCTTACTTGCAGTCTTGCACTTGATTTACTGCATGTTTTACATAGGGTCGATCTAACAACTTGACTAGCCAAATAACTAAAGATAAGCCCCTTAACCAAATATATAACAACTAAACATAAGATAATGATGCAAGCCTTGGATGTGGTTGCTGGCCAATCCATAACTGCAAGTGTGCAACCCTATTGTGCCATTCCCATGGGCTTATAATGGGCTCCACATGACAGATAAATTCGTAAGTATTTTCATACTCATTTAACTTGTATCTGACACTCTTTTTTGCCAAGATCTGACAGTTTCTATGTAGCATTTATCATTGTTTTTAAGGCGTCCCTAAGGCGTCGCTTAGGCGACGCCTAGGCGTCAGGGCGCCCCCAGGCTACAAGGCGTCGGCCTTGCCTTACGTGCATGCCTAAGGCGTCCGCCTTAGTCCATAGGGCGTCCAAGGCGTCCGCCTAGGCGCCATTCTTCCCGCCTTAGGCAAATGAAGACGCCTTAGACAGGGCAGGGAGTTCAGGCGGGAAACAGAGCTCTGGGCGGGAAGAGAAGGGCGGGAAACAGAGTCTGGGCGCCAACAGTTACTAGCAGGGGGAGAGAGAGCCCTAACCAGTTTCAGTTTTCCCCCAACCCCACCTCTGGCGGCTGGATCTGAGCTTCTCCAGCAACTTCTCCCCCTCCTCTCCGGCTGCTTCTCCCCCTCCTCTCCAGCAGATCCGCCTCCCCCTCCTCTCCAGCAGATCCTCCTCCCCCTCCTCTCCAGGACAGCAGGCAGCAGCAAGCAACCATCACCTACCTCTCCTGCAGTTGCCTACCAAATTCTGCTCAATTCTACTACTTAGAACTCTCTAAGGCGTCGCCTTGCCTTGTGCCTTAGCGCTTAGGCAGTGAGGCGCCCCCCCAGCGCCTTGCCTCGCCTTACCGCCTTAAAAACATAGGCATTTATAATGTGACAAGATAGGCTGTAGCGACAAAAGGAAATTTTATTGGCTAATATGGCCGCAAACCTATTTTGTAGTTTAGCATGAGTGAAAATTAACAGTGTTAAGATCACACTGGTTTCTCCATGTTGAGTGGTCGTACCTGCTTTTTATTCCCATGCACATGGTGTTCCTTATGCAGCTCAGAACATGATCGGTGTATAATTGAACTTTCTAGAAATATATTTCTTCGGAGAAATGAGAGTACAACTGAATCACCTCCGCCTTAATTCTAGCTATACCAGTTTACAGAAATTGGCTTGTGACACCTTTTGGAGAATAAGTTAAATATTTAGGCGTGCTTAGAACAGTTTATTTACTCGAAAATTTATTTCACTTATCAAGTTAGGTCCTTAGTTTCCTCGTAACTCGCAAATCCTCTGTATAATGTCAGAAAACCTAATTTCTCTGAGTAATGCTGTCCTATCATGTTTTTTGTTTTATTGCAAGTCCATGCTACCATGTTTCTATTTTACTTTAGGACAATTTTCTTTCTTTTTGACAAACCTATCTTTGGTTTATTTTTTGCAGGTTCGCGGATTCCTTCTCAACTTTGGGGTGTACTATGCTACTAGAGCTGCATTAGGTCTTACATTCCAATGGAGGTAAATAGTTGCTGCAAGTTTGTTCGAACTTTGTTAAGTTAGCATTGTGTTTCTACAGTCAGTATACACCTATCTAGAAAGTGGTATGTTCCATCTCATTGCAGACATTTGAAGATATTTGTGATGTCTAAGGCTATGTGATACCTTTCTATCTGCAGCTCGCCTGTTGCTTTCATTACATGCTTTGTGACAGTATTTGCTCTGGTCATTGCTATAACCAAAGATCTTCCGGATGTTGAAGGAGACCGCAAGTGAGTTTCTAATCTATACAAGGTTTTGTAGCAACCACCGTCTAGTTTTTCCAACAAAGATCATGTCAGTTTTAAATGAATAACTATTGGTTACCTTTGTGTAGACCACTGTCTAGTTATATTTGTATTTTTATGGTGCACATCCATGTTTTTGTGTCACTATTCTTAGTTGCTAGAAAAATTTATCGACTGTAGGCCCAAAAAATGACAGCAATTGGTCGAAGAAACTACTAATTGGAAAAGTATAAAAATACAAATTAAGATTGTGAGCTTTGGCCTCCAATGTTTATTTCTTATTTCCCTTAGCCTTGACAAGTGGCGTGGGCCAAAACGATCTAGAGCTGGATTGAGGGATTTCAGCCCATATTTGGAAAACTTGTTTAAAGCATAGTCAGTTCGAAGGATCTAAAAATACAAAAGAAAGGGACAAAATTTGTAGGTTTTGCATACTGAGTGAACCCTCTGTTTCAAATGTAGACAGTTACAATCAATGCTACGGTATCGAAGTAAACCAGGGATGGCTCCCGCTCCCGCTCCCGCTCCCCTCCTGGCCTAGCCCTCCCGCCTCCAGCCTCGCCGCCGACGACCCCCGTCAGTAGCCCTCCCCACCGCCTAGCCCCTTCCCCGACGCCCATGGCCTCCCCCTCTGGCAGTTCTGGTGACCTCGACCTCGGCTCCGACGGCTCGCGCCGCTGGATGGACTCCGACGGCGGCTCCTCCGCGAGGTCCTACTGCGAGGTTGCCCGGGCGCCCTCGCCCGCCCCGAGCCCCGCCCTCGCCGCCTCCCTCTCCCCGGCCGCGGCCGG